AATGTATTTTTTGGTATTGAGGTGATCTTATTTCATTATTTATATTTCCATTATTATAACATCCAATATATATTATGACGGGGGCTTAAAAATTAAAAAACTAATATATATTAATTTTTATTTTACAGACATACATGGAAACATAATTAACTTGGATGTTCTTAAAACATCTTGCGGAAGAAAAAAAAGAATATTCGTGAACACTAAAAACCCGCCAAATTTGCGAGCAAACTAATTCTATTGGTTCAAAAAATACGCTGACTAAGCAAAATAAAGTTCTAGAGTATTCTGTTGAAAGGTTTTAGGAATTGTATTATTTACGATTTGTTGCCTTTTGAGATATCTAGCATAAATTTTTTTAAGGGCTCATTCTCGGAGCCACATCTGTAAAGCCGTAAATCTTTCAAACTATTATCATTTGTTTACAAAAATAAATGTTTTACAATATATATTTTTTAAATTGTCAAAATTTTGAAAGTTAATTACAAATTATATATTTTATTAATATATTCTTAATTTTATATCTTTTCTTAATGCTTGGTTTAATTAATTGTTCGTTAGATTTGTAAAAAACTAACGAACAGTTAATAAAATAAACTTTTAATAAAATAAGTAACTATAGTTAGCTATTTGAGTAAAATTTAATAGTAAAATTTTTAAAGAATTTCTAGAATGTTCCCAATGGTGTCACTAAAACTCCTATGAATTAAACGCACTTGAATAAATTATCAAGTCTGTATAATGCGCCTGGAAAATCGTGTTTATTTTACATACTCAAAATACCGCAGAATATGGAGAAGACGAGCTTCGACTAAAACAACAAGATTTGTTTTTCTTGGTATACATTTATTAGTTAGTTCTAATCAAAAAAAATTTGCTCAGACGTTTTTTTTTAACATTCTCTTTAATATGAACACAACATGTCTCGGGACTTGGTAGTCCCTTTAAACCAATCTTGTCTTAAATACATATATTATTCATTTATACACTGTTACCTAAACTATGCTAACATTGCTTGGTGCAGCACCAATGTTACAAAACTAAGTAAACTTCTCTGAAAACAAAAACATGCCATTAGGATTATTACAAATGAAAATCACTTCTCTCATACAAAAATACTTTTTAGCAAACTTAATATTTTAAATGTTTTTAAATTAAATCTCTATCATATTCTTATATTTATGCTTAAACTTTAAAAAAAAATGGCACCACATTTATTCAACTCTTTATTTAAAAAATAAATCATATATACAGCACAAGATTTTCAAATAGTAACTATACTCAATCCAAAACCTATTATTCTGCCACTAAATACTCAAATCACAAACCGAGGTCCTAAGTTATGGAATACACTTTTAAATAATGATCTTAAAACACTTTCTTCACTTAATCAATTTAAAACTAAACTTAAGAAAAATCTTTTACTAAACGACAATGTGCTAAATTTCTGGCTTTTTTATTTGTTTTGTTACTGGCTTTTTTTTTTGTTTTGTTTTGTCTTTTTTGTTTGTTTTTTCTTCTTTTTTGCTGTTTTTTTTTTTTTTTTTTTTTTTTGGTTTGTTATTTTATTCCCTATTTAAAATATATTTTTAGTAAACTTTAACAATAAAAAAAAAATTTAAAAGATATGTAACTTACATTATTACAGTTTTTACAAGCATTGTAACTTACTGTATATTTATTATGGGGCTTAGTGATAAGACAACTACAGTCTTCTTTTAGCCCCGGTCATATTTTATTTTTATTCATGTTCTTTGGTATTGTAATTACTCATAGCAACAATATATATATATATATATATATATATATATATATATATATATATATATATATATATATATATATATATATATATATATATATATATATATATATATATATTAAAAAACAAAAAAGTTATATTCAGTATCTCTAGTGATTCGTTTTAACACTGACTAATAAAAGAAAAAATTTCAGAAATGCATCAAATGCGGTAAATACATTAAAACACATATTAAAAAAACTTTATTTCTTTTATTTAACTTTTATTTGACTATTCATAAAAACAAATAAAAGTAAGAAAAAAATTAACAAAATTTCTTATAGCTCTAGGGTACATAGCAAATTAGATTTTTATTTATATTGACTGATAAAAATCGTGAATAAATTGCATATCAAAAAACCATTTCAATTGTTGTTAAATCGTTATAAAAGATGTTTTTTTCAACGACTCAAAAAAAAAATACAAAAGTTATTTAAAAATTTTTATTATTATTAAAATTTTCTAGTTTATTTAATTTAATTTGATATTTCGATATTTTGTTACAATTTTGTTTCCTTTTTTCAAAATTGTTTTTTTTTTCTCAATAGATTAGTTTTGCTTTTTGCGCATTATTGAAACATTTTATAAATTAAAAGATACCCACTGCCATGGTCAGTTTGACTAAAAATTACTTTAAATGCGGACGAACAAGGAAAGCTTTTTATATATATATATATATATATATATATACATATATATATATACAAGTTATTTTATTAAACCTCTGTTAAATTGTTTTATATGTGTGTATATAAAACAATTTAACAGAGGTTTTGCTTTATATATATATATATATATATATATATATATATATATATATATATATATATATATATATATATATATATATATATATATATATATATATATATATATATATATATATATAGAGTTATTTTAAAAAACCTCTGTTAAATTGTTAAATATTGTTGGGTGTAAACAACATTTTTTTCTTTATAAACAAGTTATATTAATAAACCTCAGTTAAATTAGTATCCGAACGAAATATTATTGTGTAAAATAAAATTTATCCAGATATTCCAGAAAAATTTTTTTGATTAATCCTTTTTTAATTATTCTGAAAGCAAATTAAATCGCAATTTTAAATAGCAAAAAAAAATTGTTAATTAACTTGAGTTATTAAAATTTAACGACTCTTTAAGGAGTGTTAAAACCTCAACAAATGATAATTATCCGAACATGTTGTTTTGTAAACAAAAATTGTGAATATTAGAAAATGTTTTCTAATCAATAGTTATTGAAATATGAAAACAAGTAACCTTTAATAATGGATTGAAATTTTTCAAATTTATTTAATTTACCAATGAAATCATCAAGAATGGGAGTTAGAATCAAAGAATGATCACAGGCTCACCATAATTTTGTTATCAGCTTGTTCGAGCAAGGTAAAACTTATTATTAAAATAGGTTGATAAATAAAGCAACTATCAGCAATCTGAAGTACACTTATGTGATAAAACATTTGGATATGTGATTTGTGGATATGTGGAAAAATTAGGAACTATCAGCAATCTGAAATACACTTATGTGATATGTGATAAATCAGCCAAGATCCACAGCTAAGCGTAAAATGACATCCAGAATCGATCGAAAAATTGTCCAGATAGTGCAAACGAAACTAGTTTCTGCATTCTTGAAAAAAAATTTGGAATACTTGTGAGTCAATGTACTATTCGAAATCAATTTAAAAAAAGGTGGACTTAATGCAAGAGTTCCATGCAAGAAACTTCCCTTTCAAAAACCCATTGAAACCGAATGTGGACTGACAAGTCAAAATTTAATCTTGTGAAGTTTGATGAAGCTCAAAAAGTATGGAGAAAAAAAGGTGAATCATTCACACTCAGTTGCATTCGAGGAACAGTAAAATTTGGATAAAGCAATGTTATGATATGGAGATCAATAGTTTAGAATGGAACAGGAAAGCTGGAGTTTATTAATGAAATTATAGGCTCTGAGGTTTATATCAATATTCTCATTAAAAATCTTCTGACCTCAACTAAAAAACTGCAATTGGAAAAAAAATCTTCAAATAAGACAATGACCCTAAGCATACATCAAAAAAAGCAAGAGAATTTTTTATCCTAAAGCAGATTGAGTTACTTGAATGGCCCGCTCAAAGATCTCTATCCAATTTCAATTAGATTGAGATCAGGTGTTCACACCTGTGGGTTATTCTGGATCAAAAAAGTGGGACACGATGTTAAAAGAAAAAGGAAGAGCTAAAGATCATTTTCCAAAAAGCTTGGGCTAAAATCGATCTATGTTGAAAAATTGCATAGTTTGATTGTATGATTAAATTTTTAGAAATTTAGGTTAATTATTGTAAATTTTTTTTTTTTTATTAAATTCTTAATTAAATTTGCTTTCATAATCTTAAAGTTTTTAATTATAAACTAATCTTTTTTCTGAAATATTTGAACAAATGTTTAAATATTTGGACAAATGTTTTGTCCGGATACTTATTTCCCTGACTGTATATAGGCAAGTTGTATTAATAAACCTCTGTGAAACTGTTTCCTTTTTAATATATATAGACAAGTTATTTTAATAAACCTCTGTTTAATTGTTATTAAATGTTGGTTGGTGTAAACAACATTTAACATTTGTTCTTAAAGTGCTTAAGACATTTAAACATTTTAATTTATTATTTTTATTTTATTTTAAAAAGTTTATTAAATATTATGATCATATTGATTAGATAAAAAGCAACGTTCTCCATCCACAGAAATCTAAATCACTAAAAAGAATCGCTGAAATTTCACAAATCATTTTAATGATTTGTAAATATGTAATTTAAAGCTTTATCAATTTTTTTGTTTTTAGTAGCTTTATCAATTTTTTTGTTTTTAGTAGCTAAAAAGGTTTTTAGTAGCTTGAAGAATTTTTTTTTAACTACATATATAAATATTTTTCAGTTATATACAGTAAAGCCCTTTACTCCAACTTGTACACACCTGTTATGGCAGCTATATATTTTTAAAGTTTTGATTTACAATGTAATTTAAGATTCTCACACATCATCCTTGACTTTTTTTCTCAACTAATCTAATTCTTTAGATCTTAGCCGATTAAAGAAACTTTCTAAATTGTCCAAATAATTTTTAATAAAATGTACTCGATTTTTTTTTTCTAATATTTTTTCCCCTTTGGTTTAAAGATGAAATAATTTAACTTTTAGCTCCTCAAAGTGGTTCTTTAAAAGCTTCAAAAACAGGTGCAATTGTTGGTGCGGTGATTGGAGGAATAGTAGCTGCCATTATTATTGCTGTCATAATAATTTGGATAACTAAAAGATCTGATAAAAGTTAGTTTATAATTTTTTTTCTTGTTTCAAACATCTTTTAAATCTTTTTTTTCTATTTCGAATAATTTTTTCAAAATGCTTTTCAAATTAATATTATATTTTTAGATAAAAGATATCCAATGAGGTTTGTTTTTTGTAATTATTTTTAATTTTTTTAGCTATTTAGTTTTGATCTTTTTAGTTATAATCTTTTAATTGATTTTTTACACTACCATTTACTTATTTCTTATGTTTTAGTCACTTTTTTTAAATATACTTTTTATGTTATCAGTTTTATGTAATAACATTTATTATTCTGTTAAATTAGTTAATGAAATTTGTTTTGGATTATTTTAAAAGTATATTTTTAATAGTTACGTTGAAGATGCTGTTGATTATCCACTAAATCAAGATAAATCTCTTTATGCTGGAGTAGATAAAAAGAAAAAAAAAACTCCTCGTAAGGACTCCACTTCTGGTTATCCAGATGTAGTTATGGGGGTAAGAATATTTAAGACTTTTTCTATGTAAAGTTTGTTGTTCACAATCATGTTTTGATTTCATATTTTGTTCTCACAGGCTGATGACGGACAAAAGACGTCTTATGAAATGTCAAGTAAAGTTTATGTTTAAACTTTCTGAGTTTAAAAGTTGTAAATCGTAAAACGATGTCTTGAAGTTCGTGTGACATTCTTTTTTGGGAATGTTTTAATATTTCATGCACACTATTTTCTTACATTTCAATTAACAATTTAAAAATATGAATGTACATAATGATTTTCTATTTAAAGGCAAAATTTTTTAATGTATTTTTTGGGTAAAGTTTTTTTCTATGGTGATTGATTTTAAAGTTTTTATTTGCACGACTTATTTATTCTTTTTTTATTATTTTATTTATATTTTTATATATATGTATATATATATATATATATATATATATATATATATATATATATATATATATATATATATATATATATATATATATTTGTGTGTGTGTGTGTGTGTGTGTGTGTGTGTGTGTGTGTGTGTGTGTGTGTGTGTGTGTGTGTGTGTGTGTATGTAAGAAGCACTAATAATTTTTTAAATTTTTTCCCTCAAATTTCGTGAAACTTAATTTTTTTGCGAGAATAAGTTCAGGTCTTGAGTTTTAGAAATTATCTTGATTTTAATTGTATTTAAATTGTGCCGTTTTTTGGATGATTATTTGAATTTTTTTTTAATTTTCTTTTTTTAATGATTTTTTTAACGGTTCGGTGCTCATTTTATACGACTTTGTGATTCTTATAAATACTTAATCAAGGGAAATTTTCTTCCTTTGTTTTTAACTTAAAATGCTATGATAAATAACTCTGTCTTTAAAGTAAAACTAAAAAAATGTGTGATTTTTTGTACTCGGGCTGCTAATACAAAGAGGTGGGGGAGGGGTGATATCAAAGGTCGGAATCAATATATAAGGAGTGGGTTTGAAAAACCAGATAATTCACTTTTTTTTTTAATTCCGAAATAATGGTAAAAAACGTTTTTCTGAGAATCTAACTGCAAAAAATCCAAAAATGAAATGCTAAACAGAAGATATAATAAAAGGAATGTTACAGACAAAATTTAAAATATAGTTTAAAAAAGTTTGGTTTTGCATGCCAATTTTTTTCTATCTGGTTTTGATTGGAAATAAATTTTTTTAACTGATTTTTAAAAACATTTTTTGAAATCGCCTTAATGAGAGACTATTTAATAATCAATATGAAGGTTTTAATTTAGATAAGGTAAATTCAGTACCTGCTTTTAGTGGTGGCGAGAGCGGCAAGTTTAGAGGCAGCAAAAAATACTACCTGGTTGGCATATATTTGACAAAAATGCCAGAAAAAATAGCTGTGAGGGCATGACAAATTTTGCATAATACCGGCAAGTAGGGTATGGCGCACAGAAAAAAATATCGTTTTATTTTGTTTACAAATATTCGGTGATTTTATGAAGATTTAGCTTAATACTATGGGGCGAAAGTTATATAAACGCTGAAACGTTTCTGTTTAATGATTTATTCAAACGACTATAAAGAAATTATGGTAGAAAACTGCTATGATGAAAACTAATGTGAAAAATTCGATTTTAACGTTTTTACTGTTTACGGAAAGATAAAAGAAGAGGTTTTTAGTCATTGAATATTTTAATGCTGTAAACAAGAAGTCTTTTTACTTTCAAATAAAAGAGACATTTTTTGAATATAACCACTTTACACATTTGTTTCAGTTGTTTTTATGACGTCTCAAACATTTTTTTAACGTTATGTTACTTCTCAATAAGTTACTCTTTAAAAAAAAAGCGTAATGTAACGTAAAAAAATTTTTATTTGTAACAATGTATTTTTATAACATTTCAATTCTTAAATGTTTCACGTCACGCTATATCTCGGTTGGTAATACTTTTAAAAGTAATAAGTATCTTAGGTTGCCTAAGCACCGTAAGTTATTTAAACTTTTAAATGTATTTTTTTTTTAGGTAAATACTAATTTTAAAGTTTAAAAAGTTGTATTTACCTAGGAAATCTTTTTTAAAAACAAACCCGCAAGCGTGGGTTAATTTTTTATTTTTTATTTATTTTTATTACAATAGTTTTGACAAATGTGTTATTATGTTATCAATAATCAAATACATAAATAATTGAATATATATATAATATTGTAAATAAAGCAATTCTGTTAAATACCGTAACTCATCAGTTAACGGTATTTAACAGAATGCTATGTGCATTGTGAATGAGTTTGAAAAATTAAAATTTCAAAACAATTTATCTTCATTTCTATATTTAAAACAACATAAATTTGAACAAATTCTAAAAAAATTTTATTTCAAGTTTTTATCATTATTAACTTTCTTTAGTTTCCTTTTTTTTTCTTACTATTTCTATAGAAACATTATTATTTTTGTCATTAATATTTATTACTTTCATTGCTGCTGTTTTTATTATTACTATTATTATTATTACAACTATTATAAATACTATTGTTTTTGCTGTTGCTTTTGCTCTATTAATGATTAAGGTTCTTATTGTTATTATTATTTTTTAAATTAATATTATTAATATAATTATTTGGTGTCACTCCTTTGATCAGGATTCTGCATGAGTGACTTCTACCTCAATCAATTATTTATATTTATAAATAATTATATTTTGATTTTATTATTTATAAAAAGTTCTTAAAATCAATTCTTAACTTATTATTGCCAACTAAGATTTAGTGTGTGTGTGTTTGTGTGTGAAGAGGGAGTGACACCTTACCCAACTCATTATTTCCGGCCCTGTATTTAACTTCCAACTAATTAATAATTCTTTAGGATTTTAAGTTTACTGCCATGTTAAAAGCATTTGGAAAAATACATTATACATTATAAACAAACATTGCAAATTATACAAAAATAGTTTAAGTTTCTTCACTTATAAAAGAATTGCATTGTTCTATAATTCGAAGTCACTTTCGCACATTTGCATACAATCTTTGGATTTCAGAAAACTGGCTCAACAGAAGCAGCAATAAGTAAGTCAAAATAAATAAGCAACCACATCTTTTTATACTGCCCAAATTTATTATTAGCTGTATTAAAAATTAACTACAACTGATCTTTCAATATTATTAACATCAGTATTGCCCCTATTACTAGTTTCCTAAAAAAACGTTAAATATTTTCAAGCTCTTGCAAGAATTGCGATCCGAAGCCAATAAAATCACGGAAAAATTAATTAAACAATCGCTTATATCATGGACGTATAAGAGATAGACGTGCAACTTATTGTTGTTTTTGCGAACTATGCTCAATAATTAGGCGTCTGTATTGTTACAAGTCTATTATTTCAAACAAAAGAAAAAAGTTATGATTCTATACGTCAATTTTTTAACGATTTATTGAACTTGTTTAGTTAGTCTAAATTATGGTTTTTCATAATATAGTTGTTAAAATTTCATGAACAGTCAGTACAGGGCAGCACTTTAGTTGTTATAAAATTAACATTGTTCGTAAACGTTCACAATTTTATATAAAAGTTGTGTATGTAAAATGTACAGTGTATGTAAAAAATATGTAAAATGTAGTTCTTTGTGATTTTGTAATAAAAAACTAATTTTTAAAGCAAACAGCAGGTATGCTAATACGATGTTAACTTCGGTATTTATTTTAGTAGTTAAGAAGTGATACAATAAAAAAACTACACTTTTTAATAATGATCTTGTTAAAACAATCTTTTTAATACTTTTTTGCTAATGTTGCACGTCCATCTCTTATACGTCCATGCTTATATTTACCACGTCAAATAAAGCAAAAAGCAAAAAAGACTGTTTGGTTTTTTGAAAACTAAAAAATCAAAAAACAGCATTTTATTAACTCATTACTTTCACATTTAGGGAAAGTGTGGCAAACATTTTGGGATGTTTCGTCCTCAGGCGCAAAAAAAACATATTCTTATTTGAAATTAGCAAACATAAGTTTGGAGTGTAGCCAATGGCAAAATTGTCATTTGTGAAACATCAAAAAAACCTTCCAGCGGCGGCAGAAGGATTTTTATATATATATATATATATATATATATAATTTTATTTTTGATATAATATACAGTGGCTTACCATATTATTAGTGAAAAAAACTAAAAAAACACCACTAAAAACCTCCTTACTTAATGTCTTTATCTTTTTGTTATTTTTTACTTTGGGAATGTTGCCAAAGATGATATTTTATTAGTAGCAACATTACTCATATCTTTAATTGTCATTCCTACTATATGTTGTCAGTTTGAACAGGACGTTGCATAGAACCGTTGTTCTATGCAACATATTGTGTTTCTTTCTACAAACAAAAATATTGGAATACCTCGTTGTGAAGATTACTTTGTGACTAACAATTTTTTTATATTAATCACTAAGGTATGTATATCTTAATACTCAAATTTTTCAAACAAAAATATATAAAATTATTTTTTTTATGGATAAGTACACAGTCTTATTAAATATTACCTTCTTTTTTTAGAAATGGGGAGGGCATGTAATACTTCTCCACAAAAACTTGGTGAAATTTGTGGATTATTAAAAAATACAAGCATGTCACAATATAAGAGAGCTGAGATACTCATCATTTCTCAAAGCACAGTGAAGTGAGTAAAGCAAAAACTTGCTTTTGACATACCCATACAACCTGCTCTTAAAGGCACTTTTGGCAGAAAAAAGTTAACAACACCCATAACTGACAGAAAAATTAGGGATATTTGTCTACAACAAAGAAAACACTCTGTCAACTTAATGACCAAGATTATCAATGAACAGGGAATTGATATTTCCCAACGTACAGTCTAGAGACATCTTAAAGAACTTGGTTTAACTTCACTTTGGTCAGCACATAAATTAAAGTTAACACCCATTATGGTAAAGAAACGTTCTAAACTGGGCAAAAAAATATAAAAACTTCACTGAGGATGACTGGAAAAATGTAATGCTGAATAAAATTTTTAAATGTAAAGTTTAACTTGATTTTGGTATCTTTTTAAACCTTGTTTGTATATGTTTTTGATTTGTTTTTCAAATAAGAACATTTTTCAGGTCATGAGCGAAATATAGCTTTATTAGAAGAAGAGTGGGTGAAAAATTTCATTCAGGTTGCATTGTACCAACCGTAAAGCATCCTAAATCTGTCATGGTGTGGTCGGTATTTAATTTTCATGGTACTGGAAGACTGCATATAGTAAAAGGAACAATGAGAAAAGATCAGTATAATGAAATTCTTACTGATAGACTAATACGCAAATGAAGAAAAATATATTTTTATGCATGATGGGCCACCATGTCACAAGGATAAAACCAAGCTTTTGAAAGAAAAAAACATTGGTGTCTTGGATTGACCTGGAAATTCTCCGGATTTAAATCCGATTGAGAATGTATGGAAGGTGCTTAAGCGAGAAATTTAGCAAAAATGAAGCAGATGTTGATTGAAAAACTAATATATGTAAGCAGCGGTTAAAAAGTGTATTTTGAGTATGCCTTGGCGCATACAAAGCGTAATTGCAACAAAAAGACATCATAAAAAATATTAGCTTTTTAATTCTTTCATGATCTTTTAAAATTATTTTTTATTTTTATCTGTTAAAAATATGTATTTGTTTTTGAAAAAATATTGATTTTTATTTACCCATAGTAAAATGTCCTTAAATGATAAAAAATTGTCCACAAAAATCATAATTACAACGTAATTTTGTTTTTTTCTTGTTAAGTCTAATAATATTGCAAGCCACTGTATAATACTTTGATATAACATGATATAATATAAATTGTTGATTTAACAGCCTAGCCTAATATATCACGAGTCTGCAATATCAATAACGCTTAACCGTTATTGATATTGCCTTCGACCATATAAACTGATAGACACGCCTTTCCGCAAGTTAATATTCACAAAACTTTGAACACAACATCTTTTAGCGCGTGACGTCACGTTTGGGCATTAAACAATTTATAATATCGGTTTAGGGTGAATGTATTTAACATTTTTAAAGTTTTATTATTTGTTATGTATATTATTTTGTTTAAATTTTGATTTTCAAATAGAATATAGATATATAAAGATCATGATGTTATTTTGTTTTGCATATAATTGCACTCAAAGATATATTAAAAGGGTTTCTTTTCATGTGTAAGTAGCTACAAATCATTATTTGCTAAGATCCTACATTATATTTCAAATATAAATAGCATATTATTTTAATATGCTTATTTTTGTTGGTAGTTTTCTGAAAGATATGGAATTGAGGAGAAAATGGATACAAGTTATGTGGTTTTACTCCTAGTGAACTGTCTAAACGTTGTGGTAAATATTTCACTGGTATAAAGAAAGTCTTTCGAGTTCACAAAAGAAACTAAAAAAAGATGCAATTTCTAATATATTTAAATTTCCCAACATTTTTATGAAAAAGTATTTATTCTAGAAAACTACCAAAAAATATAGACAAAGAATTATTTCAAATATTACCACCAATTATTCAAATACAGTAAGTCTAATGTAACTAATCTTTTTGCAATGACATATATTGGTATAAAACTTTTAAGTTTAGTTTTTATAACATATACAGTCCCATGACAATTTATTAGTGCCACCAATATTTTTTTCATATTTTCTTATTCAAGTTGAATTTAACAATTGAAAAGTAATGTAATATATTTTTAATGTTTTTATTTGTTTTACTAATATAATTTAAACTTGTAAATAAAGATTTTCTAATATTATTATTACAGAAAGGTCATTTTTGATAATGTTACAACTCTAAGCTCAAAAATCTTGTATTTTTTAGTAATGGGTAAAAAAGGAGATCTTTCACCAACAAAAATTGGATTTATAAAAGCATTGATAAATGAAAAAACACTTTCACAGCGTGAAATTGCTAAAAAATGTGGTATTTCACATACCTCAGTACAGTGAGTTGTCAAAAAATTGGATATGGGTGATAACTGTTCACTGAAAAGAAAAGGTAAATGTGGTAAAAAAAAAATTTTGACTCCTCGTGGTGAAAGAACATAGTCGAAAGTAATAAAAGAGGATAGGATTGCTACTAATTCTTTCATAAAAAATAAATTACAAGCCTCTGGAATTCAAATGTCCACCAGAACATTGCAGAGAAGACTCAATGATCTCGGTTATAATAGTAGACGGCCAGTAAAAAAGCCAAAGTTAACAATCAAAATGAAAGAAAATAGATTGAAATGGGCTCTGAAGTATAAAAACTTTACAGTAGAAGATTGGAAACAGGTTTGTGTTTAAATTATTTTAATATTTTTATATGAAAACACACATGGAATGAGAAATTATAAAACAATATTATATTTCATGTTTGCTTTAGTGATGAGAGCACATTCCAAGTGATGACAAACAAAGCTCAGTATGTTCGCCGTAAAATATCGGAAAAATATCACGAAGACTGTGTTATAAAAACTGTGAAATATCCGATTTCTGTCATGATTTGGTCCGTGATAAGCGGAAAAGGTTTGGGTTGACTCTACGTTGTAGAGGGCATTATGAGGCAAGACCAGTATCGAGATGTCTTGCAACATCGATTGTTACCATAATTAAGGGATTGGTTTGGTGAAATGGAGAAATTTATATTTATGCAAGATGGTGCCCCTTGCCATACTGCAAAATCTATAAAAAAAATCCTCTCAAAAAAAAAAGTTCCATTATTGGATTGGCCAGGTCGTCACCAGACGTCACCAGACTCACCAGACGTCAATCCAATAGAAAATGTTAGGGAACTCCTGAAGAGAAAAATTTCAAAAGAAAATATCACAAACAAAGTTAATTTGATTGAAAAAATTATATATTATTGGAACCACGATATAAATTTAAAAGTAATGTCATTAAAATGTATTGAAAGCATGCCTCGACGCGTCAAAACAATTATTGATGCCAAAGGCGGGCTCACAAAATATTGATACAATGTGTGTCTATCATTAGGTTTATTAATTTTTGTCGTTATTTTATAGATTTATTTGGTTTTATTGTGTATATGAATGTTAATCAATTAAAAATAAAAAGTATTTGAATACATTTTAATTGTTTACTGCATTTTATAACCCCAAGAAATCATTAATACAGAAAAAATGTAGGTGGCACTAATAAATTGTCATGGGACTGTATATTGTGTGCCTATATATATATATATATATACAGGGCCGGCGCGAGTAGGTGTCACGTGGGGGGGGGGGGTGCCATTACAACTTTTGCCGACTTAAAAAAAAAAAAAAAAAAAAAAAAAGTCCTCGTTTTTTAAACTTTGCCGACTGTCATGACGACATTTGCCGACTGTCTAACCTATATCGAAAGGGTCCACATTTGCCGACTAACTAGGTCCAATTTGCCGACTAAGGGTCCAGTTTGCCGACTAAAAATCATTGATGGGGGGGGGGGGGGGTGTCACACCCCCCATATATATATAAATATATATATTTTCTATCGCGCCGGCCTTTTTTTTAGCGGATTTCCCGTCTCATTTTTTTGAGTAGGGTTAGGCAAACAATTTTTTGTTGGTTTTTTTTAGAGAAACATATATACACATAGTATATTTTTAGAAAGAAGAAGAGTTAGGCTTGTTTTTTGTGTTATTTTTTTACATGATTGTCATACCTTTTTTTGACTATTTTGCTCATGAAAATTATGTTGATGTTTACTTGTTAAATTATTGTTGAAGGAATCTATATTCCGCTTTTTTGATTTTTTAAATAAGTTTCTACATGCATTTCTTTTGCACCTGACAAATTTCATGAAAAAATATTATGTTGCAATTAGTTAATTCAGTTAAACACTTTTAGTACCTAATTTCTGTTTTCAAAAATAGCCGAGGTGGAGCTTAGGGGGAAAAAAATTTTTTTTTTTTCTTTAAAAATGTTTATTGCATATTGTTTCACTTAGATAGTAATTAAAAAAAAATTAGTAATTAAAAAAATGAATAATATAAATGAACTGGGTAATCAAGCAGAGAGTAATTTCATATGTTTTTTCATAATAATACTATTGTTTATTACTTTTACAAGTATTTTTTTGTTAAACTTTTAAAAATCATTGACTAGATAAAACCTACTCAATACTTTTTTTTAAGTAACCCCTAATTTTCGTTATTTACACCTTTATTTTATTTATTATTTACACAGTACTTTTCTTTGCTCTTTACAAAATTGTTTTATTGGATTTGTTGCCAAAAATGTGTATTTTTTATATATTACACCTTTTTTAACTTTAGCTTCATCGTCATCTGATGCAGTTGGTAAGTTAAATAAGTATTTTTTTAATAGGTGTTTCTACTTATTCTTTAAAGCTATACTATAAGTTTAATACCTTTTTTTATTTTATTTGATGACACCTTATTTTTCTTTTAGTTTTATCAACATCTGCCAGTGGCAAATTTTTTCAGATCTGTATAGAGTTAATGTTGAAATCAAAGTTATTTTGGTTAATTTTTTTACCTTTAGCTTTCTCACCATCTGCTATGGTTGGTAAGTTTGAAAACTTTTTTTAAAAAATAACTATGTATAGATTTGTTGGCAAAAACTATGTATGTTTTGTTCTTTACATTTTTTTTACCTTATGCTTTATCTACATTGAGAACATTTGGTATGTTAATCTTTTATGATTTATCTATTGTATAATACTTAGTCTTTTGATTATTGTTTAAATCATTACACAAACATTTCTAATGTTTCCTTCTTGTTTAGATGCAGGCTTACTATTTCATCAGTTTTTGAGATTCCGTAAGTGATATATGATAGTGATGTATAGTGATATGATAGTAGTGTATAGTGTATAGATATGATATGATAGTGATGTATAGGTGTATAGGAATGATAGTGATGTATAGGTGTATAGATATGATAGTGATGTATAGATGTATAGATATGATAGATAATAGTGACATATAGGGATGACATGAACAATATAATCTTGAATGTTATTTATAATAAAATAAACATTTTGATGCCTTAAAAGTTTTTTAATACAAAAGATGTATTTTTTATAATCTTTCTTTTATTGTTTAAATCATTATACAACCTTTCTTAATGTTTACTTGTGTAATTATGTTTTCATTATATAGTTTATCAATAAAGTTGTTGAACATTATGCAGAACTTGTTTGATTGTTGTTACTTATTCACTTACCGTTGTCAAATTTAAGGTGTTTTTTTTATTTTGATATACAGTTTTCTTGTTAATTTTAGTCCAATCAACTCAGCCTTCCACTGGTAAGTTTGTATATTGCAATTTCGGTCATGTTTATGTAAGTAGAAATTTAATGTATGCTTTGGTTTAATTCATATGTTTTTTATCTCAAGTCATTTCTTAAACAACTGTGATTAATAAATTTAAAAGCTATTATTTTTTAACTTGTGAAAGATTTATTGCCAACATCTTTTTTTTTTTGTAAATAACATCCATTTTGTTTTTAGTTCCATCTACATCTGAAACAGTTGGTAAGTTTAAGAGTCAATTCTTTTTCAGTAGTGTATTGATTTAATCCCACTTTCAACTTTTTTTGTTTATTTTTATATTGCATTTTTTCGTGATATTAGTTGCACCTACATCCTTCTTTTTTGCTATTAATTACACCTTTTTTACATTAAGCTTTATCGACACCTGCTGTGGATGTCGATATCATTTCTTTTGTTATGGCTATACTATAGATTTAATATCAAATTCAATTTTCTTTTTGATTACAGCTTTTTTTTTTACTTTTAGTTTCATCAACATCTACTACATTTAGAAAGTTTAAAAGCTAATTCTTTGTTCACTTTGTATGTAATATGTGTATGTAAGGCCAATTTCTAATACTTTTTTACTTGGTTACACCTTTTTTTAATCTATATCTGCCACAGTTACTAAGTTTAAAAGCTATTACTTTTTAATCTCTGTAATAATTTAATGCCTAAATCAAATATTTTTTTTGGTTGAGTACATCCTTTTCACAAATAGTATGTTTAAAAACTAATTATTTTTCAGCAGTGTTTTGATTTTTCTAAAAAAGTCATTTATTTTGTTAATTACATTTTTTTTTTGATTTTTAGCTGCATCTACATCTGCTTTGGTTGGTATGTTAAAAAACTATTTCTTTGTTAGCAGTGCATAGTCTATCTCATTAAAATTATACTATAGATTTAATCCCAATTTCATTTTATTTTTGTTGTTTACATTATTTTTTAACTTTAAGTTCCTGCAGCACAATCTTCTGCAGGTTAATGTATAAATTGAAATACTTTTTTATGATTGTTCTTCGTTTTTGAAAAACTTTAATGCTTATTTATACTTTATAAAAGTATTTTATTTTAAATAAGCAAATTCTAAATAAAAGTTTTTAATTTTTTTTTGTAAGGGTTTATATAAAATGTTTCATAATGCTTTGAAATCTTAACTATCATTGAAAAGATGAATTTATACAAACACTTATCTGCAAAACAACTTGAAGATTTAGATGATGTGATGTCTAAAAGAATTGCTGGCAGAAAACTCTGTCATGAATGGTATGATACTGACTCATCAAAGTTTATCATTTATGATGGTAGACTAGAAAAAGACAAAATGATAAAATTTACACTATTTCTTACTGAAAACAAGATAAAACTGATATTAAAGCTGTTGAGCCTAAGATGAAAAAAATCCAGCTAGCTGCTGATGTTGTATTAGATGAGTTAATATTTTCTTAGTTTGAATATGAAATAATGTAAAAATGCTTGAAAAAAAAGTTCTGCAAGTTTTGTGGCTTGCAAACAAGTACTTCAAGGTTTGTGGATTGCAAATAGATACAGCAAGTTTTGTAGTTTGCAAACAAGTACAACAAGTTTTGTGGCTTGCCATTAGGTAAAGCAAGTTTCGTGGCTTGCAATTAGGTACAGCAAGTTTTGTGGCTTGCAAATGGGTACAGCAAGTTTTGTGGTTTGCAAATAAGTACAGCAAGTTTTGTGGCTTGCAAACAAGTACCGCAAGTTTTGTGTCTTGGAAATAGGTACAGCAAGTTTTGTGGCTTGCAAACAAGAACAACAAGTTTTGTGGCTTGCCATTAGGTAAAACAAGTTTTGTGGCTTGCAATTAGGTACAGCAAGTTTTATGGCTTGTAAATAGGTACAGCAAGTTTTGTGGCTTGCAAATAAGTACAGCAAGTTTTGTGGCTTGCAAACAAGTACTGCAAGTTTTGTGTCTTGCAAATAGTTACAGCAAGTTTTGTGGCTTGCAAATTTTTTTTGATAGATGGCTCTGGCTTAACTTCACATGGTGTCTATCATTAAAAATGATTTATTTTAGTTCATAAATGGAATTCAAAACATAAATCATTTACTAAAAGCCAAGACAATAGTTAATTACTTTTTTTTATTTCAAAAGACTTGCTGCTTTGTGTTTTTTTTAGGTTGGAGTTCAACAACAAACTTGCTTTACCTAATGGCAAGCCACAAAACTTGTTGTACTTGTTTGCAAGCCACAAAACTTGCTGTATCTATTTGCAGTCTTGTAACATGGTTAAACAGTTTTTTATACTATTTTATATGTGTTTAAAAAGCATTTTTAAACTTTTTTTGTTAAATTCTAATTAAAACTTTTTTTTTTAGGTATTGGGCGGAAGGGGGGCGGCTTGCACCCTCTTTCATGAAGGCAATTTATACACCACTGTAACATGGTAAAACAGTTTTTTATACTATTTTATTTGTTTAAAAAGCATTTTTAAACTTTTTTTGTTAAATTTTAATTAAAACTTTTTTTTTAGGTATTGGGCAGAAGGGGGGCGGCTTACACCCCCTTCCATGAAGTCAATTTATACACCACTAGTTACTATTTTTCCAAGTATCGAAATATATTTTTTATTTTTTATACTAAAATTAATTGTTTTAGTAAAGATTGAAATATTTAAAAGAATGAAATTTTGATAGGGTGTGTAAAACCTTATTCAAAACCCAACACCCGACTTTGAGATAGACTTGTAATATTCAATAGTGATGTGGAATAAAATAATAACAATTTTTTGTATATAGATATTTGTAATTTTAAAAGAAAAACACTTTTTTATGAAAAAAAGTGTATTTTTGTGAGGTGTAGGTGGTGGATTAGCACCCCCTCCGGATCCCTGGATGCGCCTTGACCTAAAATTTAATTGAAAATTATAGCCCTTTTTTACACCTATCTTTCGATACCAAGTTATAGATATTTGAATAAGAATTAGCAAAGTTATAACAATTTATGTGAAAAAAAAAATTTTTTGACCACAGTTTTACCAAGAAATCCATAAATCGAAAATTTGCTACTTAAAACGTCATAACTTTTGATAGAATTGTCCGATTTTCATAATTTTTTCACCTTTAAAAACCTCAGCAACTTTTACGAATACATATTTTTATAAACAGTTAGCATTTCTAAACACATTACTAACGGTCCGGAAAAAACGCGCGTTACTTTAAAATCAACCAATAAAAACACTGGTAATTTACTTCTTAGGAGAAATCTATATTAAAAGGGGAGGAGGGGGGGAGGCTAAAACCTTAAATTTTGTTTAATTATTTAATCAATTAAATCATAATAAAAGTAAAGACAAAAAAATATATTTCCAAATATACTTCTTTATAACTAAAATTTATTAAATTGAATACCTCTGTTTTTAGTTTTAAGTAAATGTCAGTACTACTCTCAGTGGCGAAACTGCGGGGGGGGGGGGGGGTTAGGAGACAAAAAGTGTCCTATTTTTAAAAACTAATTTTAGGTTGCATGGTCGATATGGGGCTCATTTTGAAAGTCGTGCGGGGGGGGGGGGGGGATTTTGCTACTGACTACTCTAATGTGCTTAATACAAAAGTAGGTGGGGGTGGGAATTTTGGTCAGGATGTATAAAATGGGAGGAGGAAATAATAAAAAAAAGCGGTAGGATTTACAATGAAAGTTTTATTATTTATCGGTTACCAATATATATTTTTTTTAATTTTAAGGCCAATTTTCACTGAATTTTTGTTTTGAGATATAGTTTTTTGTTTATAACAAGTGACTTGTTATAAACAAATAACACGATTTTCAAAATGAGCCCCATATCGACCATGCAACCTAAAATTAGTTTAAAAATAGGACACTTTTTGTCTGTTAACCCTCCCCCCCTCCCGTAGTTTCGCCACTGAGAGTAGTACTGACATTTACTTAAAACTAAAAACAGAGGTGTTCAAATTAATAAATTTTAGTTATAAAGGAGTATATTTAGAAATATATTTTTTTGTCTTGACTTTTATTATGATTTAATTGATTAAATAATAAAACAAAATTTAAGGTTTTAGCCTCCCCCCCTCCTCCCCTTTTAATATAGATTTCTCCTAAGAAGTAAATTACCAGTGTTTTTATTGGTTGATTTTAAAGTAACGCGCGTTTTTTCCGGACCGTTAGTAATATGTTTAGAAATGCTAAACTGTTTATAAAAATATGTATTCGTAAAAGTTGCTGAGGTTTTTAACATTGTTTAAATATCCATTGTATTTTTTTTAGATGCATTACTACTTTAATTAAAGTTTGGAATTACTTAACTAAATCATTTTTATTTATAATATCTTGATTATGTGTTGTTTGATCAAAAAATAAACTATAAATGTAACTTAAAAGAGTGTTATAAAAGTAACAACACTGTAGTGTTATTACTTTTGTAGTCATGAATTTATTGTTTTGTTTTTCATAACATTTTCACTAACAGATTAAATAGACAAATTTATTAATTTATTCGCCTATTCCGTAAATTTCGTGGTTTTCCATAAACTGAAACTTTGAAGACCAGATAATTTAACAGATATCGCAAATCGCGATGCGTTAATTCGACCCTTGATATATATATATATTTTTAGGAACAATGTTGATAACTTTATCATTTATGTTAACAATAATATCACCAATAATTCAATACAGTAAATCTAATTTAAATACATTACAATGACATAGTTTACAATTACTTTTACAATGTCATATATTAATGTAAATGTTTGAGTTTACTTTTTGTGACAATAATATCTTTATGGTTTTAAAAACATTGTTGAAAAGTGTCAAATCAATCCTAACACCAATGGTAGGTATGTGGATTGAAAATTTTAAATTGATCAAAGGTTAGATTGTTATATATCATTAGAAAGTGCTTCAATACAGTATTTCAAAGGTGAAAAAATTATTAAAATCGGACTATTGTACAAAAAGTTATGACGTTTTTAGTCGCAAATTTTTGATATATGGATTTGTTGAAGAAACTGTGGTCAAAATTTAATTTTTCTTTACTTAAATTGTTGTAACTTTGTCAATTCTTGTCTAAATACCTATAACTTAGTATCAAAAGTTAGGTGTAACTGTGGGCTACAAATTTATAACATCGCCCACCTATTAAGCGTTTCCTGGGGGCTAGAGGGGGTGCCGAACCACCACCTTTACCCTAAAAATAAGCATATTTCTTTCAATAAAAAGTGTTTTTTTTCAACTAACGGTTATTTTTTTTATACAAAAAATTGCTATAATTTTATTACAGACCATCAATGATTGATGTTTATTAAAGTTGGTGGTGGATATGGTGGTGATGGTTTAACACACCCTAATTTCAAAAATATTTAATTCTCTAATTATAAATAAATAAATATTTCTATATTTAATAAAATAAGTGAAACTAGTATATAGTATAAAAAACATAAAAAATTTTTTTGCTACAAGAAATTCATTTATTGGTGGTGTGCTTATTGACTTGTGGGAGGGGCGTGTGCCCCCCCCCCCAACCTAAAAAAATAAATAAGTAAAATAAATAAATCTTTATAATAACAATTATAATTATTTTAAAATAAGTTAACAATTTAAAACCTGAATTAGGCTTTTTGCACCAAGTATAACCTACAAGCTAAAGATAAAGACCACAACTGAGCCTACTTTTGAAAAAAAAGTCTTTCCGCTGCTATTCGTAAATTTTGGTTAAGTTGAGAAGTTTGTTAAATAGGGTGGTAATGGTTACCCACAACCTACAATAAAAAGATGTTGAATTCTTAAAAATAATTGTATCTTTAACAAACAAAATAAATTAGTATATTTCATTTTTTGATATTTCATTAAATATATTTTATTTCATTACCAAATATATCAGTGTTGTATCCTATAAAAAAATGTAACAATCAATTTTATATTGTTCTGTATTAAAACATTTTAGATATCCTAAGTTTAAATAGTTGTCTTAGCTTTTAGTAAATAATTAAAATAGTCAATTTCATAAATGGAACACTATAATAATCATTTGTAACAATAGACACCACGTGAAGATAAGCCAGAGCTGCCTATCAAAATATTTTGCAAGTCACAACACTTGTGCAAAGGTCATTCCAAGTCAAATACTTTTATTCTTCTCTAAAAACATTTATAAAAAAAAGTAAAACAAAAACATATGGTTTAATACCAGGCATACCTGACTTAATATGACTACTTCTTCAAGTTATATTACTTACAATACCTTTATTCAAGTTTCATCATATGCCGTATCTGTTTTGTAAGTTTTATCACTTGCAGTATCTATTTTTAAAGCTTCATTACAAGTAATATCATAAGTTGTTACATATTACACTTCAAAAAAAAATCAACTCTCCTAGTCCAACATCAGCGGAAGCTGATATTTTTTCATGTTGTAGTCAACAGCTTCAGTATCAGTATTACCTTTATTCCAGTAAGAAATTGTGCAAACTTTGTCTTGTTTTGTTTTATCAAGTTTTTCTTCTCTACCATCATACATGACATACTTCGAATACTTACTATTGTACCATTCATGGCAAAGTTTTTGCCCAACAATTCTATCTGACATTACATCATCTTAGTCATGACGTTGTTTGATAGACAATGTATTTAAACACTTTATTTCATTGTAAAAGAGTTCAAGCAACTGTTATTTTAACTTACTTTTGTCTTTTTCATCCATTTTTTGGCATTTGCATACATGTTTTTTTGAAATATCTGCTCATATATCATTATGCTTCATTTGATTTATCATCTCTTTTTATGGGTTTCTGAATAGACCACATAACTATATTTTTATGGGTTTCTGAATCAACCACATAACTATATTTTTATGGGTTTCTGAATCGACCACATAACTACATTTTTATGGGTTTCTGAATCGACCACATAATTATGTTTTCTCTAGATAATTGATCTAAACTTTCTAGGTAATTTAATTTGTATGAAGCATAACAAACTGTTGCATTAGGTGATCTTTCTTCAGCCTCACTAAACATTCCCATTAACTCTTCACTATTTATATCGTGCTGCCTTGCACATGCTACTTCCTCCTTGAGAGTCTGGTTAATAGAAAGTGAGAAATATCTCTTACATTGATGAGTTATGACGTCTCCTACTGCAATAAGACAAGCAAAAGTCGTATTGATAAAGTGTTCATCAATCAAACAAAACATTTTTTATTGGATTTAAAATATTTGGTTCAAGGTCATTTTAAAAAGTGAACCTGGATTTGATTTAGAATCTGCAATTTTTAGTAAAATATTTTTTAATACCAGGATTCCACTATAATGGTCAAAATTTGCCTCCTCAACAGTCACACAAAATTTTGTCATCCAGGCTGGAAACTGGATGACAAAGTTTTATGTGACTTTGAGGAGGTGGTTTTCCAAATAATGCAAGCACACATTTTTGCTTTAGAGCTGTTTTGTTACAAAATACTGCTCTAAGAACTTTTTGTATAGTTCTGCATATTACTGTTCCAATGGTTAAAACACTCTTGCCAAAAAATGCTCAAACTCATTAAATGTTTTATAAAAATAAAACAAGTATGAAAATAAATATGAAGACGATTTCCTCGATACCTTGGAATGATACCTTGTGGTAGTTTTTGATCATCTAAAAACTAACAAATCTTTTTGAATCACCTTTGCCATGTTTAAACCTCAACTTGCTCATAGCCAAAACTATTTTAAATGCGATACAATCATACCCAGCCATGAGGTAGCAATTATATCAAGAGTGTGTAAATGGCAGTTTAGCTCATTCAAACTTTCCCCTTAAATGTCACACAGTTTGCTTATGGTAAGATGGTTAATTGCAACTTTGGCTGACATTACGTTTGATATATTTGAGATGATTGATTGATCACTATCATTAAAAGATGCTAAATGAAAATCTAAATAAAAGTTACATGATCAACTGCTTTACATATATGCAAGCAAATATTTGTAACTAGCTATAAGCATTTTATTTGCCTTAATATTATGTACAACTTTAACTTATTTTAGCTTTTAAAGTTCTGAAATTTTCATTGCTTTTTTTTTAAGCTTTAAGATTGCATATTATCTCACTGTAATAATATGTCTGCAAATTTTGTTTAAGATCTCTAAGTTCAGCTCTTAAAACTTTAACAATTTGTTTCTTTTATGTAATTTTTGTCTCAGTACTTTCAACTTGTATGCCATGCTTTTTAATTTTGCCGTCACTATTACTAATTTATTTCAATACTTGCTGGATGTAACAGCAAGCTGAGAAGTTAAATAGGACAATCTGGTATTCAAACCTTTTTTTTCTAGGGCTTATTTCTCCTCTTGATTCATGCCTATTCATTGTTAACAGAATGTTTGGAAAATAAAGGCTTGTGATTTAGTGGTGATAAATTACTTATGTGCTCAAGTGGTGAATTATCTAAACTACTTAAAACAGTAGTAAGAGAACTACTTGGAGGGACATGATGATAGAAAGATGGGCAAAATTTGTGCAATGCATATACAGGGTTCATTACAAAATTCCTTAAAACGACAACTATCCCTTGTAAAGTTGCAAAACCAATTTTTGCATCTTTTCAAAACCCTAAAGAAATGAGGTTTACAAATGTTTAAACTAAATAATAGTTATAACAAATGACTTGACACTGTTAATGAATAAAAAAGATACATATCTATTTTTACAACAACTGCAAGTTTTGGCAGATAAAAAGAAGTGTGTATTTAAATACTCTTTAACTGTACTAAGAACAAAAATTAAAGTTGCTTATTGTGCCTATTGCTGGGGCACAAAAAGCAACTTTATTTACAATATAATTATATATATATATATATATATATATATTATTATATTTGAAAAATATATATATATATTTTTTTTGCAGTAATTTATTAGATTTTTTATATTAATTAATATTAGTTTGTATATTTTTACTAATTTATTTTATTAAAAAAAAAAACTTATATATATATATATATATATATATATTTATATATATATATATATATATATATATATATATATATATATATATATATATATATATATATATATATATATATATATATATATATATATATATATATATATATATATATATACAGGCGCAAATCCAGCATTTTTTGATGTTTGAGATAACTAACTTCCAGACATGGAACAAACTCCAAAAATTTATATGTTTATACTTATGTCAAATAAAGATGATTTGCAAAAAATTGCGACGATTGGAGTCTGGGAACAAAAAAGCCCCAAAATTTTGGCCACACAAACCCCAAACAAGAGAGCAACAAGTTGATAAAATATTTTTTGTACAATTCTTAAGTAAATTTATATTCATCGATAAATTCTAAATTTCATACAATAATCTCTTAGTGTTCAGAAAACATGACCTTACAAAATTTGTAACCCCCTCAAATTGAGGGGGGTTAAAGCTTTGTGCAATTATAACTTTTGAACACTAAAAGATTATTGTATGAAATTTAGAATTTATCGATGAATATAAATTTACTTGAGAATTGTACAAAAAATATTTTATTAACTTGTTGCTCTCTTGTTTGGGGTTTGTGTGGCCAAAATTTTGGGGCTTTTTTGTTCCCAGACTCCAATCATCGCAATTTTTTGCAAATCATTTTTATTTGACGTAAGTATAAACATAAATTTTTGGGGTTTGTACCATGTCTAAAAGTTAGTTATCTCAAACATCAAAAAATGCTGGATCCGCGCCTGATATATATATATATATATATATATTTTTACTAATTTATTTTATTTAAAAAAAAAACTTATATATATATATATATATATATATATATATATATATATATATATATATATATATATATATACATGTATATATATATATATATATATATACATGTATATATATATATATATATATATATATATATATATATATATATATATATATATACATACATATATATATATATATATATATATATATATATATATATATATATATATATATATATACATGTATATATATATATATATACATATATACATATATATATATATATATATATATATATATATATATATATATATATATATATATATATTATATATATATATATATATATATATATATATATATATATATATACATATATATATATATATATATATATATATATATATATATATATATATATATATATATATATATATATACATACATATATATATATATATATATATATATATATATATATATATATATATATATATATATATATATATATATATATATATATATATATTATACATATAACATAAATAATTACTAAACTAACCAAATAAAATTCAACTTGTTTGTACCCCTCTTACCACCCACTTACGGAAATCAGAAAAACAGAAATGAGGTACCAAAACTGCTCACTTTTATAGAGTATCTGCTCAATAATATTTTTCAATGAAATTTGGTAGGTAGATAAAAAATATATGTAAAAAACTATCTGGGTAGGTTTGCAAACTATCTGAGCATTTCTTTGACAATAATTTAATGTGAGAACAACAACCAAGTTTTTAATACAAATAAAAGCAATACAAAAATTACCAACCACACATAAATGTTATATATTAATCAAGTTTAACTATTCTTTTTTTCAAAAATAATCTAAGTTTAGTAATGTTTCTAAACAGAAACGCTACAAAAAAACGTTCGCCTGACGTTACCTAAAAAAAAGTTCAAAAAACCTGGCACAAAATTTTAGTACAAAATTCGGTTCCGTAAAACACTGATTTCCGCGTACCTACCAATGGTAAACAATGTATTATAAAATTTTTAAAATTGAAAATAAATAAACTTGCTGCTAAACAAAAGACAATTAAAATGCTTCAGCAATCCAACTGTTGTTTAATAAAAAGGATTAAAGACTTACATTCATACCTTCGTCATTTTAAATCAAAAAGTATGAATCATTTGATAAATCAAAAACATGAATCATACTATGATTTCTGAAGCAGTATCAATTACACTAATGGTATAATATATATTTTTATTAAGAGTAGTTGCTGAACATATTTTATTTTATTTGTCTATTTAATTATTTTAAATATTTGTTTCTTATTTCTTATTAAGTTATACCTTTAGAATTATTTTGTTTTAGTCAACCTACTGTTCAAATATGGTTTTAAATTAGTAAGTTTTTATGATTAAAAACTTATTACATTAATCATCAGATAACAGTTAAGGAAAATTTTAATTCATCACAATTACGGTAAGATAGCAATAAGTTAATTATTGTGTTTGTCGTAACAGTAATAATTGTTGTTATGATTGTAATACTATTGTGATATTTTCATCTATTTCTTGAAACCCCAATCAACGATGCCCTATTTTACTTGATTGGGTTTTCAAGTATAAATATGATGTTATAACTAAAAAATGTATTTATTTAATCTATTTAATTTTAGGGAGCTATGTCTGAGTCTACAAAACAGTTATTTTGTCGGATTTTACAAGAAAAGTTAAAAAGCATTACCCACCAGATTTATGAAGCTTAGCTACAACATAGAGTTGTTAGTCGTAGGCCTTGACCTTGACTTAAGGCCTTGGTCTTAAAACTGTTGGTCTTGGTCTTGGCCTTGGTCTTCAAAAAAAGTACATAAAATTGAAGAATTAAAAGATTTCATTCTTTATTTTTATGTATTTTTGTTTTCGGCTTCATACATATCCACAAGTATGTTTTTTATTGACTTCATAGAATTTTGGGCATAACCCTGGTTTATTTTTACAACATGTAGTTTATTGTCACAGGAATTGTTACCTACAGTTTTGTTAATAATTGACCTTAACGTTAGACAAAAATTCAAGTCTTTGGGCTTGAAAAATTTTTTTTTCTTGGCCTTGACTTTAAAATTCCTGGCTTTGACCTTGTAACTTTTGGCATTTGTCTTGGCTTTAGCCTTGTAACATGTGGCTTTGGTCATGTCCTTGCTAATTTAGGCCTAATTAACAACCTTGCTTTAACATTAAATTTTTATTCTACTAAAGCATATAGTTATGTTAGGAAAACATTTAGTAATGCACTTCTCCATCCTGAAATTATACAAAATGGCATAAAAGTGTTGACTGTTTCCCTGGATTTTGTAAAGAAGCTTTAGTTACTCCTCTAAAATAAAAAGAAGCTCAGAAAGTTGGTCAACATATTGTGTGTTCATTTATGTTAGGTGAAATCGCCATTTGAAAAAAAATTGAATAAACAGGCCATAAATTTTCTGGTTATATTGATTTTTGTGCTGATATCAATAATAATAGTTAACCCAAAACAAAAGAAACTTTAGTTTTTATGGTAAACTGTGTAAATGGACGTTGGAAACTTCCTGATGTATAATTTTTAATTAATAGTTTAGGTGTTTGTGAAAAATCTAATATTGTTAAGCGTTGTCTGTAATTTATTTATGAAAGTGGTGAAGAAATTATAAAACTAAATTGCTTAGTATTTAAAGATAAGATTGCACCACAAAACTGACTTGATCAACAATTTACATAATAAACGTATACAAAGTGTATTAAAAAAGCAAATTTAATTTTCGAATCAATAAAAAGTTATTTTTGTATATTAATGTAATGGATAATAAAATACATAAAGTTGTATTAACTGTTACATTTTCTTATCTAAAAAATCTAAAAATAATAATTGATACAAAATGATAAATTTAATAATATTAAAAAAAATAATAATAGTAGTAATAAGGTTTACTACAAAATTTTACAGTTTTCTATTCTTAGCTTGAATCGCGTTTTGTTTTGCCCAAACGTGACGTCACGCGCTAAAGATGTCGGCTTCAAAATATTTAACTTACGGCGGGTCTATCAGTTTATGTGGTTGAAGGATATTGCAGAAAAAAAAAAATGGTGCGATCCTTATAACCGGTCATAGGATCGCCATTATTTTTTTTATCGGATGTTGAGATAAAAATAAACTTTCACCCGGTTTGCTTAATCAAAAAAGAAAAAAAAGAAAGAAATCGAAATTTAATATTGTTTTTAAAACTCGTATTTGAATTTTTTTAATTTAATGTTTATTGTTATGGAAATTTGCTTTCTGAAATTTAAAATTTAAGCTCAATTTATATTTCATAAATGTATTAGATACGCTACTGCATAAATTTTTGGAAATGAGTTTAAAAAAATTTCAAAGGTAAACTTAAGAATAATAACCCCATTCTTATTTAAAAGTGTATATTATGAAATTGTATTATATGATGATGTTTATTTTCTAAACTACTACTATTAACAAAAAGATGTCATTTTACAAAGTGTCAATCTTATCATTCAGACCTTTCATAAGACAAAATATATTCTCAATATTTTATGTGTAAATACGTTCAGCGTATTTACACATAACAATACACATAACAATAACAGTATTGAATACTTAGGCAATAGTTGTTGATTAGGCAAAAGACTATTGCCTAGTCAACAACTTATTTATTACTGTTAAATCTAAAACTATTGCCTATAGTTATGTATTTAACAGTAATAAATATCTTTATAGAATACAATAATAAAAATCTGCTTTGGATTAAATATAAGTTTGCTAAAATGTCATCAACACGCAAAGTAACTATTGATTCTGGGAGAAGAATAGCTACTGGTGATGCTCTTGATTCTTCAAAAAAAAAAAGTGTTTTTGAGCGACTTGGTGGTAATGGCTCTACTCCAAAGTCTGTTGTAAGTCCTTTTTTGTTTGGTTTTACAATGAAAATTACATGAAAAAAAATTTTAAATTTATAAATACATTTTTTCAAACAGAACAGTTGTTATTTTCATTATCTCTAGTAATTCGTCTTAATGTTAAAAATTGGGCAATTTAAAGGATACAATCTTAGACAGACATCAAGTATTGTAAATACATTTCAAATGTGGATATACAAGATGTGTGACCGCACAGGCTTCTAGGGAAGGCCTGACATGTATAAATAAGTTTATTTTAGCTAGGTGAATTTTTTGAAACACTTCATGAAATTGTTTTTTTTTTCACAACTGTATATTTTCTTTTTTATTGTCATGTTTGCACTCTTATTATTTTTCTCTTTACTGAGTTTTCACTACAATATTCATATTGTTTTTTAGAAATTAATGTTTTGGTTTTTATATATTATAACTTGATGAGGATGCTATTTTCCCTTGAATTAAAGTTAAATTGAAATAAAAGGGTATTTCTTAAAGATGGTATTTTTCTCAAGATTTGAGTTTTCAGTTCTCCATTGAAAATAGATTGTTGTTTTTATTTGCAGTTGTACAAATATTACAAAAACATCTTATACCTGTATCAGTCAGCCTTGTACGATGTTTTGATTTATTAACTTTTATAATTGAAAATAGTTGTTTGCATTTATAAGTACTGCCAAAAACACAAATCAATCTTCTTCAAATTTTCTAAGCTGCGGAAAATGGTCTTCTTCAAGGTATTTTTTGTTGAAATTGCATAATTGCACATCTTCAAATTTAGATTTTAAAAGTAAATTTTCTTGAATCTTGATTAACACCATTTTTAATGACTTTGCAAATTCTTTTAACGACTTTGCCAATTTTGAACAAACTATAAAACTAGCTTTCACAACATTATCAAGTTTTTTTTTTAATTTAACAAATGTTTACTGTTGTTTTTTCAAATTTGTGGTAAGTTTTTGGATTTTGTCTTTTCTTGTTCGACCAGTCAGTGAGTGTAGCATATGATGCTTAGTTAAGTAATGCCCCTTTTTATTAAATTCTTTCATCAATGAAATCGATTCATTACAAATCAAACAAATAGGTTTACCATTGTGCAAGAAAAAAAACAATTCTTCAGTCTATTTTTCTTGAAACTGGCAACCCTCTCTATCTACTTTTCTTTAAAAACAACCACATTAATTCCAACTTAAAAACGCACCAAAATTTTTAATTGGGTTTTTCTAAATGTCTCACAGGCCGAGTCAAAACTCGCAGTGAGCCGGATGTTGCCCACATCTGATTTAACTTGTTGAACACAAAAAGTATGTTTAAATTGATTTCTTCTTGTATCGGTGGTCCAGATAACAATAATGATTATAAAAGCTTAGATGGGCTGTACCATAAGATGTCTTCAATATGATAGAGAATTTATAAAATTCAATTAAATTTTAGTCAATGTTCTTCAGTTTAATTAATTTTTCTTCGTTTGATAGGTGTTTGGTTTCTAGTATCAACTTTAACATCATTCAAGTAAAGATTCTATACTTGAACAGCAAATTTGAGATGTGGTCTTAAAGATTTGTTGTACAGCTCCTACCTTTTCTAAAACCATATGATGAATTATCAAAAGGTTATTGGCATTAATATAATTAAATACTTCATCAGCTACAATTAGTTCTAAGATTTTTCTTTTTTTTGAAAATAGTAGTTATGTTTGCTTCGGCGCTGAAAAAAACATTAAAAAAAGAGATTGAATTTGATTTCATACATTACAATGTCTAGATCATGATCTTTTTTTAATTTATCGTTATTCTTTTTATTATCGTTACCATTTTTTTCTGATGTTAAAGAAGCTTTACCAATATCATATGCTGATGAAACCATTGTTGCAACTCTGTCTATAGTGTCACTAAACTTTTGTTTTGCTGCAAGTATTTTGCAGTGTTTTGACTTCAGTTTGACTAGTGAAATCCCAAACAATTCTATGGAGGTATCAAATCCCTATAGAGTTGTCTATCTCTATATAAATCTCTATAGAGTTGCCTTTGCCCCCTTTATATGCCCACAATATGAATATTTACTAAACTAGTTATTAAATAACACTATATTGAAATTTTGAATAAAAAAATCCTTCATTACAAAATTTAAATTTTTTGCTTAATTTGATCAAATATTACAATGATGACAATACATAAATTTAATTTTTTTCTGTAGACCTAAGAAAATTATATATAAAAAAAGAAAAGTTTCTTTAAATATTAAGTATTTAAATATTAAATTTAAACTTTAAGCAAAAAAATTATAACATTAGATCTTGTTTGGGCATAATATGCTGATAAAACCATGCTAATTCCAAATAAAAGTATTCAAATATTTTCTAAATTGCCTTAACTACACCAAGCATGGAGTAGAATGAGGCTTGATTTGGAACCAACAAGAAGAAATAAAAACTTCCATTTCTGACTGGATCCACGAGGTTATGTAGGAGGGGTATTTTTCAGCTAAAGAGGAAAAGACATCAGCCCAAGGACCATCACGAAGAAAATCATGGAAAGAATGGTAACTAGAGAAAAAGTTTGCATTGTTTACAAAAAGAAAAAAGATTCAGAATATATAATAAGGTGATCGAAATCTTTTGTATATTTATTATATTTAAGAGAGTATCATAAAAATCCTAATTTTATTTGGCTCTCTTGATAAAAAAAACATTCTTTTGTTTAGCTTCCTATAAGATTTATAGGAAAGTCAAATGATTGATGATAAACACTTATTTTAAAAACAAATAAAACAATTACAAATAATATTGACTCTTTGGAATTTATTATAAAGCGGGAGGCTGCATAACCACGAATTGGCATATGTGCGAACTGGCATGAGTGCGAAACGTTGCAGAAACTGGCATAAGTGCGAACTGGCATATGTACGAATTGGCATAAGTGCACCAAAACATTTTGCAAACATTGGCATAAGTGCGCATTGGCATAAGTGCGAATTGGCATAAGTGTGCCAAACAAATTTGCAAAGATTGGCATAAGTGTGAATTGGCATAAGTGGGAACTGGCATAAGTGCGAAGCAGTTACAAAAACTGGCATAAGTGCCAACTGGCAAAAGTGCGAACTGGCATAAATGCGAATTGGCATAAGTGCGCCAAACAAATTTGCAAACATTGACATAAGTGGGAATTGGCATAAGTGCGAACTTATGCCAGTTCGCGTTTATATCATTCACACTTATGCCAATTCGCATTTATGAAAATCGCGCTTATTCAGTCGTCCCATTATAAAGTTTGTAAATTGCAGCGTATATTTTAAAGACTTAAAGCAACTGGCTGACATGGAGATGGCAATCTTCTAGTAAAACAATAAAGTTGTTTTTTCTTGTTATACATTTATTATTTTGTTTTACTCAAAAACTCCAGCCCAAACATTTTTTATTATTCTCTTTAATATAAACACAACTTGTCTCAGCACTTTGGGATTTGTTTAAAACATTGATGGAAATATTTTAGAAATGCATAAGGTTTTCCTTATGCATTTCTAAAATTTTCCCGGCAATATATATCATGTTCCCTCATATATATTGCCATCTCCATGTTAGCCATTACATCTAACAGAATACTAGAAATAAAGGTGAGCATAGTTTTTAAAGTTAGAGTCACTAGTTGGTTGTTGAGTTCACACTGCATCAGAGATTTAAACAGAACACAAATATACATAAAGTAACTTACAGGTGATTAAACACCACGGTAGAGGTTCAGATAGAACACAAAAATACATATATAGAGTAACTTACAGGTGAGCCAACCTCACGCAGGAAGAACACAAACATACATTAAGTAACTTAGGGTGAATTAACACTGCACCGTAAATATATATATATATATATATATATAATATATATATATATATATATATATATATATATATATATATATATATATATATATATATAAAATATAAATATATATATACAGTTACTATTTGGTATGGATCCTTTTACTGTATCGTCTCCCATCTTTTTGTTTTCCTGACATATATCATGTTTCCTGATATATATATATATATATATATATATATATATATATATACACATACATATCAGGCCTTGCGATAAAGCGTCAGGCGATGTGAATTTTACGTCGTCCAAGAGCGATTTTGCGTGAAGCTAAGGCTATTTGCGTTGAGCAAAAAAATTTTTGTTTGAGTATATTTAAAGATATTTTTGAGCGGAATTTTAATGAAGTAATTTACGATTATTTTAACATTTATTAAAGTATTTTAAAAACCGCATGCAGTTGATATAAAAGTTTGAATTACAAAAAAAATGAATATGCTTATTATTTACAAGTAGAAAAAATTCAGATTAAAAAAAAGTTTAAATCTTTTTAAGCTAGCATTTTAATAAAATTAATCAGCAATAGCAAGGTTGTCGATAAAATTGAACAAAAATATTTTCTTTTAGTTTTAGATTTTTAACTTAAATAAATATTTTATGGGGGTTTGTTAGGTTTTAAAATTATTCCATAGATTTAAAAATATTTATTAACTGTTAGACGAATTTAAAGTATTTAAGAGTAAATTCGAGGAAACATTTTAAAAATTGGTAAGCGCAAATAAAATAAAAATAAAAGGATTAATATTAAAACGTATTCTACTTGATTCAATAAAAAAGTACAGTTATTAAAATTTTTGTAAAAAGTAACTCAAAAAAAATTACTTAATTAATAACAATCGCTTTTTTGTTAAAAGTTACCGAAACGTTCCAGTTTTGGAAATGAAAGAAAAGAGAGAGGCATTTAAAATCTTGATGGAGGAGAATGTTCCTAGAACTCTGTCTCAATAATATGTGGAAAACAAACCGGCTGTTTATAAGCATTTATTGCTAACAACTACAGCTGATTTTTAATTTATTGTTTGACTAATTAAATATTATTTTACTTGTAGTTTACTACCGGGTGATAAAGAGAATATATAATAAAAAAGAAACTCAACGAAGCGTGCTCAAGAACAGCTGCTGAAAAATAGAACGTCAATAATTTTTCGAATAATTTTTAATAATAATTTTTAAGAATAATTTTTTCGCTGAAATATTTCTTTTATACCTAAAAGATTTTTATTCTAACATTTTATTTTATTTTGTTTTACCAAAAAAAAAATTCCTTGTAAACATTAAAAATCTATTCAAAATGTTCGTTAAAGTTTTTTAATAATGCTAGTGATTGTACTTATCAACCGCTTTATGAAAATAAATAAAAAAAAATAAATAAAAAAATATTATATACACACCCAAAGCTGCATTTTTCATTAATAAGTTTATATATTCGTCTAAATATTAATTTATATTAGTAAAATAAATTTTGTGGCAACAAAACTCGTTTGCAGTGTGTTGGAATTTCGTTTTAAATTATCTCATTTATTATTTATTTTTTCAATTTTTTTTGATTAGGCTAGTCATAGTAACAAGGTAGCATGTAGATTTTACTATTTTATTGTCACCTACTATGAGTTTCACTACTCTTCTGGGTTCCTACTGCACAACTCTACTATTTACAATCTGTTCTTAGAACCAAACTTCCCATGTCTACTTGACTGGGTGGCCTTATTGGTCACCTGAATGGGATCAATATATCTCAGAAACAAGTAATATATATAAATATTTGTATATAAATAATATAATATATATAAATATTTTGTTTTAATTTGAAGCCAAAAGTCTGGTTTTTGTCAATTAGAGGATTTTTATGTTTCAAATTCTGAAAAATAATAGGTTTTCAAACAAGTTATATTATTAAAGTACTTTTAAAATAATTAAAAAATAAAAAATAACTTTTTTGAGGGGATAGGATTTTCTTGGATTTTTTTCTAGAAAATATGTAAGTGCTGCTTTTTTTGGTTATTAATAACAACTTAATATATTTAATAGTTAAGTGGTTAGCATGAAAGTTAATAATAAATTTTGAATTTTTTTGAGAATGACAATAAATATATCTTATGTAGCATATATCAGGAAAACAATGGTTTATTAACGACGGTTTATTTTTTTAGTCAAATTTCTTAATGCTTTCTTTCTTTTACATTTCTTAGTCAAACTAATGCTTTCTAAAAAAAATTTTACAAACTTTATTTTGTATATTTTTATATTGTTGTTTTAATTTTGTTATAACATTTTTTTATGGTACTTCTTTCTATTTTTATCTACAAAAGTTTATTTGTTTATCTTGTTCATTCATACATGCACATTAATGACATTGTTATCAATGTAATGATTAATTTAATTTTGTAGTCATTAATGTGCACAATAATGATTACACAATATATTTAAATATATTTCTTAACGTTTAGGTAAAAACTAAGATATCTAAAAAGATTTCCAGGTATGACTTTATTTGTTTAGTATTGATAGAATGATGATAATGGTGATGATGTTGATGATGACGATGATGATGATGATGATGATGATGATGATGATGATGATGATGATGATGATGATGATGATGATGATAGTGGTGGTAGTGGTAGTGGTGGTGGTGGTGGTTTCTGCATAAACCTTCAGTCAGTGTTCTTCATGTATAGGTACTGCCTGCTGAAACTTTTTCCTACATACAGGTTATTTCATAAGTTGTGTACATGGTTTTGAATTTAAATTGCTCCTAATTAACATAATATATTTATTAAAAATATATACATATATAAAGTATAATTATTCATTAAGATTTAAGTAAAAAAAGCATGTCTTCACGACATTCGATCAAAGAGAGAAATCAATTTTTTTTTTTTAATGTTTTAATTTAAAAATTTTCAATAGGTTAGAAGGCAATGGAAAAATCATTTTGCTACTCTGCCACCACATGAGAAAATTAAGTTTAAAATTCTAAATTTGATTAAAAGTTTTAGGACGAGTGGGAGTTTTTATAAGCAAGAAAGATCCAACTGCTTTCTTTCTATTGTTACAGTGGAAGCTGGAAGATGTTTCAAAACATTCAAAATGTTAGAGAAATAGTTTGAAAATCTGATGATTTTCTTTTCGAAAGGGCACATCAAAATAAGGATGAACATGAGCAGTGATTGTGTTATTCGAGTAGTAGGCTTTAGACCATTTAGACCAAGTACAGTGCAAGATAAGTGAAGATGATTTAAACAAAAGAATGGAGTTGAGTGATATTATTTTGTTAAAATTTGAAGCAAAGTTCCAATTTGCTAAACAAAATTATTTAATCAAATAAAAGTCTACTCATGCTGAACAGTATTATAAGTCCTCATAGTTGTTGCTATTGGGCCTATTCTAGTCAGTACAAACAATTACCTGTGGCAAACTCATCAGCTCATTATTCCTGTCAAGTAAGAAGCTGGTTTAATTGAAGTTCCTTCAATAATGGACAGGCAAAGGAAGTCTAATGTAATGGCCTGCTGGTTTTCATCTCATGTGCAATACTTTCTTTAAAATCATTTGAAGAACATATGAAGACAAATCATCTACAGTTGGTTAACTTTGTCAGCGGATTGAGAAAATGTGTTCAGATATAGACATGTTCGTATGCTTGTGGAAGCGTAGTAGCTTGTTTGAAATGCTTTCAAGAGCTAGAGGGTAAACTAGTTAAATAGCCACATATAATGTTTTTATAAAATTATAAAAAACATTTTTCTTTATTATTTGTTTAAATTTTTTAAATCAAAAGCACGTACACAACTTATGAAACACTCTATATATAATATATATATATATATATATATATATATATATATATATATATATATAATATATATATATATATATATATATATATATATATATATATATATATACATACACTCTAAAAAAAATCCCGTTAAAATCAATGGAGTTGGTTACGGAGTACTCCCTCATTTTAGCACCAACGGAGTACTCCGTTAATTTAACGGAGTAATAATTTAACGGATTTAATCCATAACTCAAACGTAACAAATTACTCCGTTAATGTTAACGGATAGTTCGTTGAAGTTACAAAATTCTCCCTAACATAAAAAAAACTATTTTGTTTATCATGAAAAATTGCTGAAATAAAACAGTTATAGATGTTTTATTCCGTATTATTTTTGCAACAAAGTACTCCTATAAACGTAACAAACTAATTATTAGTGTTTATCTAAAAATTAGTTTATCTGATTTGTATTAGAGATGAGGGTTTTAGACAACATAAACAGCAACAAAACATTTGTAAAAATAAATAAAAATAACACATTGTAACAAAATTGTAAACCTTCATGTATATTTAGATAAATAAATGATACATTTAAGTAAAAACATATTTAGAGAGTGTTGATCGCAGCTCAACCACTCCATTAGGCAATGAACCGTACTGCAGCCCATAAATATCTTGCATAAACTGGCAGAACATGATTGTTGATGGCTGGTATTCGATGTTAAAACACCAAAAAATCTTGAATAAACGATCGATGTCTTCTACAATAGATGTGCCAGCTTCAATCAAAGTTTTTTCAAATGCAATCTTTATAGAGAGAATTTTTTTACCCTCAATCCCCTGTATTAATATTACCGGATAAGGGGACTCCAACTTTTCTGCAACATCTTGCTGTCCATGCTCAGCCTAAATTTGCGATGAAACTTTTGTTATCTCGGTTACAATATTATTATAAATTGTATTTATATATTTATAAATTATAATTTTTTGTTTTTTTTTAATTTAAAACTTATGTGCACTGTAAATCAACTAAAAAAAAAGTTTCTTACACTGTATATTCGAATGATTTCATTGGCTACTTCTGGAGCAGAACGTTTCTGTTTCCCCCCTTGTCGCAGAAGCGAGCACAAAAGCTTGCTTGCATGCATAATAAGCTTTCCAATCTAAAACAAATATATAAACCATACGAAAAGGTAAAAGTGACAAACATACAAAGGTAATTTTATGCAAAATATTTGTGAACAAAAAAAAAGAATATCTTTAATAAAATTAATGCAAACCATGATGTTTTTTAGATGCCATTATAGCTAGAGCTTTGATGTAATCACTATTTGACAGTGAAGCATATTTTAATACTGGGTCTGCAACAGTCTGATTAAAGGTTTTGAGGATATCAACCATGCAGTCTGAATATTTTAATTGAAATTCCATATCAATCTAAAAATAAATATTTTTGAATACAATGCCTAAAACTGTATTAATTTATCAATTTAATTGCTATAAATCATTTAAAAACAAACTATCTGTACAATTATTTTATTATCACTTATACATGTATGAATATTATAAAGTTTCATGTATACATGTATGAATTATACATTTGGTCAGTATTATACACTAAAGTTTCATGTATACATGTATGAATTATACATTTGGTCAGTATTATACACTAAAGTTTCATGTATACATGTATGAATTATACATTTGGTCAGTATTATACACTAAAGTTTCATATCTGATAAAAAGAGACACAGATAATTTTTACAAAAAAAATACCAACTCTGGAATAATCTTGAACTTTGGAAATTTAACCATCAGTTGGGATAATGAAGGTTGATCTGTTGAATGAACCCAATTCTGCCGAAAACAAAACTTCGACTTTGTAGAAGCCTTAACTTCTTCTACACGTGTAGAAGATAATGAATCAAGCTTTTCAATTTCATCAAGGTTGCTCATTCCTGAAATTAATTCAAATATGAAAAACACAGAGCAACAATATAGATATTAAAATTATAATCAACAATAATTTTGAAAGACCTATATTATTAGGTCTTTTTTTATTTTATTTTACTTAGTAAAATTATTAGCAACAAATAATTAGTAAATAATAAGTCTTTACAACATATATGTTTTTTATAACAAAAGGTTTTTACAAGATATAGATAATTAGATAACCTAAACATAATGCGCAAAACATGAAACCACGGGGACACCCTTCAGATTCTACTGCATGATCCACTGGTTGAGATAGTTCAGTACCTGCAAGTTTAGTTGTATCACAACAAGTTGAGTTGTGTCCCCTTTTACGAGACCAAACAAACTTTTTTTCTGATCCTAGTATACAAAAGAAAACATAGCTTGTAAATGTAGCTGCTTGTATGACACAAAATAAGACAATGATTCAAATAAACTTTTAGTAACTAAAATGAATTATTTGCAATCGAGACATACAGTGGAGAAGTTACATCACAATAACACACAACAAGGAGATTACAAAGCAAGTTGCTAATATAAAAAAAAGTTGTTAAGCATCTAAAAAAAAGCAAGTAAAGTAAAATTATTGCTAAAAAATTATGTATGTATGTAAAAACTATTTAAGTATTGTACTTACAGGGTGTTGCGCAAGAAAGGCTTAAATCGAATTAGCTGAAACAAACGCCTCATTTGCACCTTTCATTATATGGCTGTTGTTAACAGAAACACTAGATTCTGAGAGTGTAATACTAGAGGTTGTTGTAGTTGGATTTGGCTGCAACGAAGGCAACACTAATGGTGAATTTGATTTTGTCTGTATTAAAACAAATGATTTTTTTAAAATTTATAAAAACAGTTTATAAAGTTAAAACACACTAAAAAAATGCTAATTTCAAAATATTACAAAGTATTTTTTGATGAAAAAAAGTTTATTAAAGAATTTACACAGTAGCAGTCTTTAGTTGTAATTTAAATTGATTTACCAAAACAGCATTAGTCCACTGCTGACCATCTATGAGTAGAATAAGAATTGTGTTTGATTCTGCTAATTGTTTTATTATTTCAAAATCAACTTCATCAACTTCTGTGCCATCATTTTCGTAGACAAAGCTAACAAGTTGATCTTATTTCAAACCAAACTTGCAACGCACTGGAATAACAATACACAGTCATTTAGCTTTTTATATACACAACACAAAAAAATTCAGACTAGTTAAAGTGAATATATATGAATGCACAGTAACAACTTCATATACAATTAAACAATTATACATATTTAATAACTAAAGGTTTATATATTTTTCAGTTTGTAATGCATAAATAAAAAAACAATCAATATTTCTACAATATTTTTATTCTAAAAAATTGTGTATCTCAGATTTACAAAGTTGCTGTATTTGCCATCTTCTCCGGCTATACATGTGACATTGTATGGATAATAGTCTTTGAGCTGATTTGTATGTAAAACAAGCAGTGTATTTGGATTGTTAGATTTTTTAACTGCAAAAGAATGAAAATGTTCATGAAAATGTAATGTTTCAAATGGATAGCATACAAAGTATATTTGTTTTGCAAGAGAAACAATGCATTTTAGCTCTCCAAACTGAGGATGACTTTCCACAATGCCATGACACAAAACACATTCCGGCTTGATTTCATAACAGCCAAATTTTACTGAATGAACAACATATATTTCATCACAGTTGTCCACGTTTAAAACT